CTTCATCATCTTCACCCTGGGGTGGGACCTTCATACCCGGGGGGGGGTCATATCCCAGGGGTGGGTCCATCCCCTGCTGCTCCGGCACCTCCCAGTGACCCCAGCACCATCTCCCAGTGACCCCAGCACCATCTCCCAGTGATCCCAGCCCCTCCCAGTGATCCCAGCACCTCCCAATGGTCCCACCCCCACCTCCCACTGATCCCACCCCCCGTTTCTCCCCCCAGGATTTACTTGCCCAGCGGCCACTGCTCCGTCCCCCCCGACCCCGAGGTGCCCCCCGGCTGTTCCACCACCTGTGAGTTCTCCAGCTCCTCGTCCCCGGGCTGCTCTGGGCTCCTGATCTACTGGGTCGGTACCTGCACCTTGGCCATCTACTTCTCCAACCCCCGGAAAGACAACAAGTCCCCCCGGGAGCTGGCCCTGGAACTGTCCTACTGCGACAGCTTGCATGGCGAGCCGTTCCGCTGCGAGAGACTCGAGGGCAGGGTGTCCCTCTGCGAGAAACACAAGCGCGAGTTGGAGGACATCTACAGGCTGATGTCGAGGAGGAACGTCAGCACCACCACGGACAGCACCCTCGACCGCATCGCCCCGGGCACCCGCCTGGAGACGGCCGTGGTGACCATCAATGGCATTGAGGTGATGGCCACCATGTCCAACACACGGAACGCCGAGATCAGACTGGTGGTGAGGAACATGAGTACCTGGTGAACAAAACCGGGAGCGAGACCCTCCGTGGGCTGGGAGCTCCTCGAGGACCTCCGGAAGGACGTCGTGGGCACCCCTGGGACCTCAGAGGCACCCGGAGAAACCTCCAGATACCTCCAGGACTCATGGGCATGACCCGGAACCCCATAAAGACCCCTGGGATGCCATAGACACATCTGGAACCCCATAGATACATCTGGGACCCCATAGTCATCTATAAAACACCGCAGACATACCTGGAACCCCATAGACACCCCTAGAACCCCAGAGACACCCCTGGAACCCCATAGACACCTCTGGGACCCCATAGACACCCCTAGAACCCCATAGACACCTCTGGAACCCCATAGACACCTCTGGGACCCCATAGACACCCCTAGAACCCCATAGACACCTCTAGAACACCATAGACACCCCTGGGACCCCCTGGGCACCCCTGGAACCCCACAGATACCTTTGAACACCATAAAAGTCGAGGAAAAAATTTGGGAAAAGTCAAGGGGAGAGAGAGAGGAAGGAGCGGGAAAGGGAATCGGCTCCTGCGGCCGGAGAATCTCTCCCCGGCTCATCCCGGAATTGGGCAATTCCAGGGAACCAAAAGCCGTTAAACTGCCCCCGGGACAAAGAGAAAAACCTCAGAAAGCGGCAGAAATGGAGAAAAAAGAAGAGGCAGAAACGATTTCCCAGGAGTTTGTGGTGGGATCCTTTCCCTGCTTCTCGAAGCAATCCCGGCCTTTTCCAACCTTTTTCCTCATTTTTTAGCTCTTTCTCTTTGCATCTCTCGGCGATTTAATAAAATCAGTTTTGGGATCAACTCAGGTGAGTTTTAATTTAATTTAATTTAATTTAATTTCTCGAGGGAACACTCGGATCCCAAGTTCTTCCCGCGACGTTTAAACAGTGGATTGTTAAGGAAGTGGGAGCGGCTCCGGGGGGAACCCGAGGGACCCCCCCCCCACCTACCTGGAACCTCGTGGGACCCTCGGGATGGGGGTCCTGGGCTGGAGGGGAGGTGGGAAGGAGGAGATCCGGGATTGGGGGGGTTGGAATGGTGGGTTTGGGGGAGAATCCGGGATCTGAGGCAATCTGGAGTCAGGGGTTCCAGAGGGAGGGTCTGGGAATTCCTGGAGCTTCCGGGAGTCAGGAACAGACGATTCCCTTTGGACCCTCCCGGGGCGTCACCGTCAGGGAGCGGCTCCGGAGAGGAGACCCCGGGGAGGGCGGAGAAAGGGCCGGAATGAGGAAACTCTGGGAGTGAGAAGGTTCCAAAGGTCAGGGGATTCCAAAGGTCGGGAGAGCCCGGATCTGCCGGTGAGATTCCCGAGCCGAGGGGATCCCGTGCTGGGACGGGGGACAACATGGACACCCTTTCCCCAGAAATGACCCGCACGGTGACCATCAGGGTCTGCAACAGGACCCAGAACGTCACCCTGGAGAGCCCCAGGTGAGGGGGGGGGCAGGGAGGACCCCCGGGGTGCCAAAGGGG